CGAAAGAAACCATGAATCGCTCCAGTGGAATGCCGTCGGCGGTCTTGGGATCGTTGAGCCAGCGCTCCGGGATGAAGGTGCGGGAAGAAGGGAAGAGAGTTTCGTCGTGGGAGACTTCGGGGATGGTCATGGACTGTGAGGGTTCAGGGTTAGTTTAGATGCGATGGGGGAACGGATCATTGAGTAGGGTAATGACTTACGATGCAAGTGTTTTCGGGAATAACCCACTCCTTGTACTGCAAAGGCGTCTTGTGTGTCCTGGGGTTACGAGCACTCAAGCCGTATGACATGCGCGCGGTTTCCATGATGATGGCTTTGAAATACGGCATCTTCTCCAGTGGGGCCAAATCTAAGTCGTCTCTGTTGGGAAAAGCTTCTACGAGCTCTTTGTGGAGGCGCTCGTAGATGCGTGGGGTGCTGATGATGTGGAACGCGGCTGTGGAGAGGGAGAAGGCGGTTGTCTCTACGCCGCCCCCGATGATGATTTGCGCTTCATCCTCGAGACGCTTCTGTGTTTTGTCAGAGTCAGGTAGCTTAGAGCCGACAATTTCTTGGAAGATGGTCTTCTTCGCATCGTTGGATTTGATGTCTTCGCCCTTAAGGGTGCGCGCAATGTGATTCCGGTTATCCTGACTCGCATGTTAGACTCAACACGGTATAGATGCAGTGCTGTGCCGCATACCTGCTTGAACTTGAGCACTGGCTTCACTGCTGGCTGCAGCCAGCCGCTGATACGGTCAGGGATACAATCGAGAATCTGCAAAAACCATGTCAGTTCCACGTGTGACTGGTGCACATCTTGAATGATCTAAATATAACCCACGGGAAGTATCATGGGAAACTGCGTGGCGATGTGACCCACACCGCCAACCCGAATAAATGCATCATGGAATGACTCGAATTCAGGATGCTTGAGCTGGTTGTAGTTGAAGCCGAAGAAGTAGTCCATGATGATGTCGCCTGTCAGGGCGGGGAAGGCATGGGATAGGTTAAGCGGTTCTGCATGAGCCTCAAACTCTTGCATGCGCACGGAGAGGGTGTCGACATGGCGGTGGATGATGTGTATGAAGTCGAGTATCGAGCGGCGTGAGAACCTGACAACAGGCGTTAATCGTGCCGAGGTGCCTTGCACTACATGTTGATGCACCTACATGGGAGCCAACGCAGCACGGCGTCGCTTGTGCTGCTCCGCGTTAACGGTCGGCAGCAGGCCGCCTGCACACCCAAACCTCTTGTCCCAACCCTCCTTGTCGAGGTGGACGTTCTTGGCGTAGACTTGGTCGTAAAAGTATGGGTCTCGTATGTGCAGTTCATCAGGCGTCACTCTTACAATAGGGCCAAAGATATCGTGGAGCTTGGAGATTTGCTTCGAGTACTGTCCCTTGTGGACGATCTCGTAGTAGCCCTCGTACCAGCTTGTGGCTGCCGCGATCCTGGGGCCAGGAAAGCGGGATAGTGGATGGCAATATAGGCGGTAAAAGACACGTGCGAGGAGGTACACAAAGTACGCCAGCAGACACAGAGCGGGAAGAGACATGACGGCTGGATGTCAGAAAGGCAAGAGACCGATCAGGCGGCGACGCGCTCTTTAGAGAGCAGAGTGCGCTCCTACATGTCGCTAAGGCATGTGGTGTTTGCAGACTGATTATGGAATGGGGTGCGTTTGACCCGGCATCCTGGATCCTACGGCATGGCCGACGAAAGTAGAGAGGTGGAAGATATAAGGCGAGGCCTGACCCCGCGAGTGCAAACGCTCTTGGAAAAGAACTGGAACACAGCATGTCAGCCCCGCAGGATCCAACAGCCGAGGGCAACCTGCAATCCGTCCTGCATCTCGACGTCGACACGGCCAACAACAGCGATAGCGATTCGGCATTCGGCGGCGAATCCACGGCATCCACGTCCATCGCATCGACTATCCTCAACTATGAATACTCCAATGGGCGGCGATACCACGGCTACCGGTCCGGCTCGTACATTTTACCGAACGGTCAGTTCTAAGTGTACAAAGTGCATGTGAGACAAATGCTGACTTCGTACCTCCACCTCTGCAGACGAGCAGGAGCAAGACCGCCTCGATCTCCTCCATCACATCTTCCTGCTCATCCTAGGCGGCAAGCTCTACGATGCACCCATCCCGCCTGCGCCCCAGCGCGTGCTCGACATCGGCACCGGCACCGGCATCTGGGCCATAGACTTCGCCGACGAGCACCCAGGAGCACAGGTCATAGGCACTGATCTCAGTCCCATCCAGCCAACGTGGGTGCCGCCCAACGTCAAGTTCTACATTGACGATGCCGAGTCGGAATGGGTCTACAGTCCCGACGAGGCCTTTGACTTTATCCACTGCCGAACCATGTCTGGCAGCATCTCCGACTGGGACAAGCTGGTGCGACAGACATACACGCATACCAAGCCCGGCGGTTGGGTGGAATTCCAGGAGCCGCTTGCGTTGTGTGAGTGTGACGATGGGACCATGGAGCTGGCAACCGACATGCTCAAGGCAAGTTTTGACTGTACGAAGTGCATGTGGGACGTATGCTGACTTTGTACCTCTACCTCTAGTGGCAGGAGTTGTGCCACGCTGCCGCTAAAACGTGGGGAAGGGACATCACGGCCGGGGACAGCCTGAAGCAGCGGATGACGGATGCAGGGTTCATCGATGTTCACGAGAAGCTCATCAAGGTATGTCTACCCTTTTCCCCTACACTATGCCGTTTACGAGGCTAATGCGGTACCTGTAGATCCCTATCGGCCCTTGGGCCAAGGACGCGAAAATGAAGGAAATCGGCCGCTACCAGCGCGAGCACATGTCCATGGGCATCGAGCCTTACACTCTCGGTCTCTTGGGCAAGGTCATGGGCTGGAGTGAGTCCGAGTGCCGGGTCATGATCGCCAAGGTGGTTGCGGATATTAGGAGGAAGGATGTGCATATGTATATCCGCTTCTACTTTACTCATGGACGGAAGCCGACGTGAGAGCTATATAGCAAGTATATATGATACCAGTCAATTACATTCGTCGCTTAACTCGCGTGAGCGCCCTTTCAACAACGGTCCTCCCTAGTTGAGGTATACTCTGGCCACCGTATATTTCCTGGTCATTCTCGTCTTGCTCACCCTCTACACTAGCGGGTACAACTCTGACCTCGTACTGTCGCGGCGGATCCCTCAGACCCGGCCAGATATCCAAGGGCAGAAAGTCACCCTGAGCCACGGTAAACTGCTCCCTTGCACGTTCATCCTCGAGGCGTATCCTGTCTAGCTCCTTTTGCGCTTCCTCAGCCTTCCGTTTGGCCTTTTCGTGCCGCCTCCGTCGTGACGACACCTCAACGAGGAGCTCGGCGTAGGCAAGGTCGAAGCGTTCGAAGAAGTCGCGCTGGCTCTCCCACTCGTCGATGCCGCTGAGCAGGCTAGGCCGTGTGTCTTCCAGCCATGAGGCATAGAAGGAACGTGAGGTCACAATGTGCTCTTTGACTTGGCCAGTGATTTGCGACATCATCTCGAGTATCTTGGACAGGGCTGACGACTCGCTGCGGACGTGGCGGATGTGGTTCTCGATCTGACCCAGAAGGAAGGTCATCTCAGAGCCCCGTTCCTGGATCTCGGTCACGACGTCTTCCACCTCCTGCGCGTCCTTTTGCAGGACATTGAGCATGTCGCGGCGCTCTTCTTCGCTCATGGGCTCGGGGGGCGCGGCGCCATTATCCTCGGAGTGGACTGGCGCATCTCCTGTTGCTTGGGTGGCAGCGGCGGAACCTCCTTCTGTATGGCGCAAGGCTGTTATGCACAGGTCGTAGTGCTGGACAAGCGACTGGAATGCCTGCGCAGCCTCTTTTGCGTGGCCCTCAAGATTATGGTATAGGCTGGGTATAGGACTCGGTGTGGACGTGGACACGGGTGTCATGGGCACGTTCTCGATGGAGGAGTAGAGGTTGTCCAGACAAGTATCGAAGACATGGGAGCTCTCGTCGAGCGTGGCATGGGCATCGTTGTAGCGGTCTATGCAGGCGCGCAGTGTGGACTGCAAGTTGGAGACGGTGGCGCTGTCGATGAAGTCGTAGAGGTGCTTCTGGGGAGTGCCCGGAGGCTGCAGGGCGCCTTCAATGGGCGTGTCGCGCAGGACGGCGAGGGTAGAGTTGACACCGGCAAAGGATGCGTCGACGTCGTGGAGCAGCTGCTTGAACTCGGCCTGAACTTCCGACTCGACCACGTCTACGCCGCGGCGGACAGCTTCCAGGGCATCCACCTGCTGCTCGACGAGGTTGCGGATGGACGTGTTCTTGGCGGAGACGACGGCGTTCTCTTCGAGCAGGTCACGTGCGGTGTTGACGATGTCGGTGGCGCGCCATAGGACCGTCTGGGTGTTGAGGGAGCGTTTGGCGGCGACAAAGTGCTTGACGAGATGCTCGAGCGTGAGCGACTGGGCGTGGTCCTGGTCCAGCGACGTCCTAGAGGCAGCGCTGCTGGTGGGAGAGGCGGGCGAGGGTGGAGAGGCCATCGTGTCGGCGGCCACGGCAGCGGGTGTTGGGCATAGTGGCAGCGGTGCCGGTCGAGTGGGAGTTCGCGATGCGAGGCTCGTGATGGTGAATGATGGCATGCGCGACTAGAGCTGGTCCGAGCTGCTGCATGGATGGGGTGCAAGCGTGCCAGGGTCCACAGGGCTGCGGAGACATTGGCGGCATTGCGTGCTGAAGATGCTATCCAAGCCTGCCATTGCGCCATTCCACCTCTTCGTGCGCCCAAACTCTGTCGCTCGCTAGCATATTTATGCGCAACGTGCCATCGAGTCGCCGTTACATCCGCACGCACGCGATATCGCCCCGGAATCTCGACAGCCCTCGCATCTTGCCGCAGCCCATGAATTGACTGACCATGGCGTCGCAAACCACCCACGCCACCACCGCTCCTCCCCGACCCAGACGTCTTTCATGGCGCCCCCGAGACTCGTCGCCTGACGACTTCACCGCCGCCACCTCGACAGACCCGCACGCTGCCCTGATGCATGGCCACGACCACGAAGGCATGTCGGAGCGCACACGACACCAGCACGCAACCACAGACGAGGCCGAAGAGGCCCAGGCGAACAAGTCGAAGAAAATGGAGAAGATGATCACGCCATACCTCGCCCAGCACATTCCCCAACAATATAACCCCCTCGGCGCCAACAGCCCAGGCCAGGACGAGCGTCCACGCACTGCCAACACCAAGTTCTGCTATCGACACCGTCCCGACTTACTCTGTCGACGGCAAGCAGACGAGCCTTCCATGGAACAACTGCAAGAACAACTCGGCAGAGAGTCCCAGGCCGACCAGCAGAGCATTGCCAACGTCTGGTCGCTCTTCTCCGCGGCTCCCTCCCGCCATCGCAACCTCATGCTGCAGGGCATTCTCGCCCAGTGCTGCTTTCCTCAACTCTCCTTCATATCCTCCTCCGTCCGAAACCTCATTAAGATCGACTTTCTCGGCGCACTGCCCACCGAATTGGGCTTCAAGATCCTCTGCTACCTCGACACCACCTCGCTCTGCAAAGCCTCCCAGGTCAATCGGCGGTGGAGACAACTGGCTGACGACGACGTCGTCTGGCACAAAATGTGCGAGCAGCACATTGACAGGAAATGCACAAAGTGCGGCTGGGGACTCCCGCTGCTCGACCAACGTCGCTTGCGCCATGAGAAGCGACGGATACAACTGCGCGCATCGGGGCGGGGGCTCAACGAATGGTCGCCAAACATCACCCCACAGCCCGAGACCTCACCCGACACACTCGCTCATCGATTATCCCAAGGCCCCGACCCCGACCCCGCTGCCAGCACCAAGCGCTCTGTACCAGACGACGATTCTTCCCCAGAAGTTTCGAACAAACGACCATGCACCAGCCTCCAAGCAGGTCAGGACCAAGTCACATCATACTTTGATCATCCTAAGAAGCGACCATGGAAGGATGTCTACAAGGATCGCTACAAGGTTGGGAGCAATTGGAAGTATGGGCGCTATTCGACACGCATATTCAAGGGCCACACCAACGGCGTCATGTGCCTGCAATTTGACGATCAAGTCCTCATCACCGGCTCCTACGATGCCACGATCAAAGTCTGGGACATCAAGACGGGCCAAGAGATTCGCACCCTCACAGGCCACACCCAAGGCATCCGATGTCTGCAGTTTGAAGACAGCAAACTGATCACCGGCAGCTTGGACAACACGATCAAGATATGGAACTGGCGGACAGGCCAACTTGTCAAATCCATGAACGGCCACAGTGATGGTGTAATTGGCCTCCACATGGCAGACAAACTCCTAGCATCCGGATCTTCAGACAACACCATCATGGTGCACGACTTCAGCCACATGAAGCGCACCACCTTACTAGGCCACACAGACTGGGTCAACGCCGTCAAAATAGACCTCCCCTCGCGCACCCTCTTCTCCGCCTCCGACGACATGACCGTCAAGCTATGGGATCTCGACACCCACCGCTGCATCAAGACGTACGAAGGCCACGTCGGCCAAGTCCAACAAGTGCTGCCCCTCCCGCAAGCCTTCGAAATCGACGAAGACGACTTCGTCGCAAACGCAAACAACGACACATCCGATACCGCCTCCCTAGCTTCTGATAGCGCCCCGCCTCTCGCCCATACCTCGTCTTCTTCCTCTCACCACCACAGTCACCCCGAAGAACCAAGTTTCTTCCCCGACGACCCCTCCCGTCCGTCTCCGCCCTCATACATGCTCACCGGCTCTCTCGACGGCACCATTCGTCTCTGGCACGTACCTTCTGGTCGCTGTGTCCACCGCTTCTTTGGCCACGTCGAGGGCATCTGGTCGCTTGCCGCCGATTCACTTCGACTGGTCAGCGGAGCTGAGGACAAGACGATTAAGATCTGGGATCCCCGGACGGGCAAACACGAGAGGACGCTTACGGGTCATACGGGTCCCATCACTTGCGTGGGCCTGAGTGACGAGAGGGTCGTCAGTGGGAGTGAAGACGGTACCGTTCGTGTGCATTGTTTTACCCCTGAGGGCGCATAGGTGTTGGCTTGCTGGATTGCATGAATGATTGATGATTGAATGAACAAACACTGTCGGTGTGTTCTCGTTACGCCATTATAGCGCTTTTATTCTTCTTCTGGCGAGGGACAGGTTTGGAGTCCCCGCCGTCTACGATAGGATCTCATGGGCATTGGCGTTACATAGATACCCTCCTTCCCTCTTTAGCGACAATGTAAATATTTGAATTAAACGTGCTTGTTATATCGAAACCGATCCATCTTTTTACCGTTCCCTTGAGGCCCTTCCTTCTATGGTGTCCATACACTATCCCCCCTCATAACCAAAATATAATAACACAAACCGAAAAGACTTTCCTACCATTAAAACACATCCTCAAACGCCCAAACCCCTCTGAAGCCAACAGACCGGCCCCTCCTTCACCCCCTTCGTATACGACCCATCCAGCAACAACCCCCTCTCCTTATCCATCCAATCCACAATCTTCTCCGCGGACTTGAAATCCAAATCCCCTAATTTCGATTCTATACCCGTAACACCAGCCTTATCGTACGCAACCTTGATGAACATCGAACAGTCCCTCAGCGTCATGGCCAGCCTAAGATTGTGATCAAATGCCTCCGCACTACTCTTAGGTCGACAAAGCACGCCCCGCGGATCAAGCGAACTCTGCAGATTGAGGAGGTGTTGCAGGAGGGCGAGGCCGTCGCCGATGGTAAGGTAATCCACAAGAGCTTTTACAAGCGCGGAGATGACGACGGGGGATGGTCGGGTTTCTTTACCAGTATTGCTGTCGAATTGCTGGGAAACTGTTGCTTGGGACCATGGTAGTAGGGACGAGGAGTTTCCATGCAGCAACTGCAAGGGACATATATAATTATCCCGTTTCTTGGGTACGGAAACGTGCATGGCGCAGGTGCGGCAGCGGATTGCTCCAGCGGGTGCGTTGGGGGATTGCGCGAGCCATTTCGGTTTTACTTCGAGGGTGATGGATGTACCGGGTGTGGGCGACATGTCTGGGAGGAGGATGCCCCAGCACTTTCGTCGCGACTGTGGGGTTGCGAAGGTGTGCTTTTCGACGCGCGTGTAAAGGTGGCTCATGACGTCTGGCAGGAGTAGTACGCCTTCGTGGTCCATGAGGTGCTTTGTGAGATCGCGAGCGGGCTGTTGGGGTTTGTTCCGTGGACCTGGGAGGAAGAGTGGCCGGATGGCATGCTCGAAGCCGTGCAGGATTTCTAGGGACGAAAGATGTTTCTGGCCGCCTCTGGGTACGCGGAGGACTCTTCCCATCAGGCTTCGATAAGGCACTGATGTTGCTACGCCAGTTTTTGTGTCCTTGGAAAGTACATCGACGAACTGGAAACGTGTCGCGACAGTGCTGGTCTCGGGTCTGATCTTGAATATGACATTTGCAGCCCCTTTGTTCAGATAACCAAAAGTCACATGCGACCCAGCTGGTGTCGCATTTGTCGCTTGTACACAGCAGCGCGTCTGGCCAATTCCCTGCTCTTCCAAAAGGTGGTGCATTTCATCCTGGGTGAGTCGTATGGAAACCATGTTGGTCGGGCTCGTGGGCGTTTAAAACTGTCGTTGCCGGTCGGAGCATCCTACCAAGCCGCGCGCACACCCAGCCTGGCGACTATCGTGGGTGCATATGAGTGGTAGCGAGTCTTGATTTGCGTGGAAAGCAGGATGGTCTCGTCACGCGCGTCCAATCGTGTGTCTGGGTCTCACGAGTAGGTGTTTTCGGTCGCCAACGTGTTCTGCGGTGGCCCTCTGGCACCCAAAGCTCGTGCGGTTGTGCGAAGCCCGAAAGATGACGTAAATGTACCGCACCACGGGGCGCGCAGGAAAGCCCTACTGTTATGTTGCGGATGGGTCGAGGTACGGTGCGTAGACGGACGCGACATGGTTGCCTATGAATCTCGTCCAGGCTGACTTTTGTGGCGCTCAAGAGGCATGTTGGTTCCGTGGTTGGGGTGGATAATCGCCCTGTCTCACGTAATCTCGCGTCGGCCAATCATGAGCATAACGTGCATTTCTCGCGACTTGTGACGCTCTCTAGTTTGTGCCCGAACTACCATCTTTTCGCACCCGCCTGTCACGAGCTGTTCTCACCGCACATTGAATACCGGGATCTTTCCAGTTATCGCAATCCGTACTACGCGCCACAATGCCGGCTCCCTCGCCCCTTCCAACCTACCTCTACAAGATCCTCCCTGCTGCCCCGCCATCCCCCCTCCCTGCGCGTCTCCCGCTCTCAGACCTCGACCGCAATGACGGATACATCCACCTATCAACGTCGGAGCAAGTACCTGGCACTGCCGACAAGTTCTTCAGCGACGTCTCGGAGCTGTGGCTGCTGAAGATCAAGTACGACGTGCTGGTCGCGGGCACCGATGGCGACGGGCAGGTTCATGCGGATAAGAAGGGTGAGCTGAAGTGGGAGGAGGTTGGAAGAGGTTGCTTTGCGCATTTTTACGGGGCAGATCTGGGTATTGGGAATGTTGAGAATGCGTACAAAGTTGAGAAGAAGGGCAGCTGGGCTGACAGCTTGAGCCTGGAATGGTGAGCGAGGCTCGCATATGTTGCGACGGGCAAGACCTAAGATTAGGCACTGCTCCAGAGCACGAAATAGACTCGTGTGAAATATTGATGAGTGTTCGGAAATACACATTCTGGACCGCTCGCCATCCACATCTCTGAGACTCCCACACCTAATACAAGGAAGGATGGAAAAGCTCTGGAGCCTAGATCAAGCTGTAAACATGTTAGATGTCAGGATGTCAACGTAGGCTCCAGGATGTTCAGTAGTTTCCTAGGTTGTATGCTCAGCATGCTCGACCATCTTCTTTTGCAAGCAGGACGCACTTATCCCCACCAAGGAGCACGACCAAACGAGCACCATGCTATCGAGCATGCCGTTCGCCGACACCTTTGATCCGTACGAGGGAAAGCGACAACATAATCGCATTTGCGACTTCAGTGACGAGGTTGCATTGCACTATGAAGTGATAGGACAGACAACATCAATCCTTCACTTCCTCGTCCGGGGCTATAAGGAGATCAAAATCAAAGCACCCGTAGAAGTGGTTATTAGATTACCATCACTTTCTCTCGGTTACCACAGTGTAGATCGCCATTCAGCCGTCAATCAGACAGAACCAGCAAACTTCCAATGTCGCATGAAGATGAACGCCGTAAATATGAGGATTCTAGTTCGCGAGGCACTCAAGATAATTCTGAAGTGGAGAAGTACCAGGTTGGATGCTGATGCATTGGCGAGGACAGTGTACAGAGAAGACGATATTTTTGTCGCCCGCGAGAACCAAGATGAGCTCCAAGTCCTGGTTCGCAATCTATTGGATATAGTGAGAAAATTTGTATTAAACGGTACTTCCTTGAAATTCAGCAATCTTTCGAAGAGCTTGGATGTTGACCCTTTAGCCAATAGGGAAGATAACCCAGGTAATGGTACGGATATACATTTACAAGCAGACGTGCCTAGGTAGTCACCCAAGGAAGATCGTTGCAACAAAAGCCTACTCGCCGTCCATAGACGACACACCCAACTTCAATGAGAACAAGTCAAAACATAAACAAACAATTCATTCCCTTCTATTTCCCAACACTCCCCCACTCCTCCTCACTATACACCCTCTTAACCTCATACAACCCAACCTCCTCCTTGATCAAACCCCCCATAACCTTCTTCGCCCACTCCGTCTGCCCACTCTCCTCCAACTCCTTCCACGGCAGTACCTCCCCACTAAACTCATGCAACGCCAAATACCTCGGCGCCGTCTCCATCGCATCTCCAAACTGGAAGTCCTCCAGCGTAGACGCAGCGGCTAGTTTAAATCGGCGCGAGCGCACAAAGCCCGGTGCGCGTGAGAGAACCGGAAGGTGTTCTTCGCGGTACCAGGCATCGAAGTCTGCGTCCGAAGAAGCATCTTTGGGCGGTTGGAGAGCGGCTGAGATGACGAATTTAGTTGGAGACGAAGTGGTTCCTTTGACTGCCTGGATTTCTTCGTAGAAACGGATAGCGAAGGCGGAGTTCTTGTAGACTGTGTTGATAAGTTCTTGGCTGGGAGGGTTCTTGCCGGCTATGTTCTGGAAGTCTTCGCTTTCTCTGTAGGCGATGTCGGGGAATTCGTAGGTTACCTGTTGGGGGGTTGGGGTTAGATGGTGGTATTGGGGTTCTGGGTTGAAGGACTTACTAGCCATGGGAATTCGTTGCTGTAGACAGATGGTGAGGGTTGGGGTTGGATGGCTTGGTAGCGTACACCGGACGGTACGCCGCCGAGGCTGATGACTTCTTGGATGTGTTCCTTTCATTTCTTGTCAGCTTCTTGGTGGTTTTATGGGAAACTGCTCATGAAGAAGGATCGAAGTACATACATTCTCGTACCAATCGCAGAACTTCTCAGTAGAAAGCTTATCAGGATTCACGACGCGTGAAGCAACCCACAGTACACCGGGAGCCATGATTGCAGCAACGATGCTTTCGATTCAGACAGTTGTTTGGCCGTGTGATCGGTGAAGAAGCAGTGGTTAGATGCCGGTAGGAGAATAATAATGTTCCGGCAGTATAGTGACAAGGAACGACATCGGAGGTACTACTACACTGAGCTGAACCCCGTCATGTGATGGTTCGAGGAATAGGACCGACCATGAAGCTAGCCATAGACTAAGGAACACGTTATCCGACTAGACCTCCCATGGTCTTAGTGACGGTGGAGATACCCACTTCCAGCGTCGGTAACGGCGGTTAATCCGAGACTCGGGTATGGTGTCGGGGTGCGAGCAAGTGAAGCGAACTAAAAGGCTCAGCCATAGTACCAAAACATAACTCAAATACATGATTGAGGTAGAGAGAAAATAAAGAAGAAAGAGAAGGTGATCAAACTCGCTAAATCGCACCTTCAGATTATGTCTTCAACAATCGCACTACCTGGTATGCCTCCAACACATTTTGAGCCTAGTTGCCTTTGGAAAACCCAACGAGATCAATCACCGTG